CCAGCCATCCTCAAACACTCTCACAATCCCAAACACTCCAACAATCACCAAAACAGCTCCAGCTTTCTTCTCTTCCATTTCCCTACGAATTTCATCTTCTTTAGCCATCACCACTCACTCAAACTCATCCCAAATCACCTCCATATCCTTCATACATTTTTCTTGAAGTGGGGAAGCTCTTGGAGAAGCATTAGAAGTGGAGAAGCACTTGGAGAAGCCTTGGACACCACCAGAACTTCAGAAAAAGGGTTTTTCTACTCTTATTGTATTCATTATGTTTTCTCATTTCTGTTCAAGTCTCTTTTTCATTATGAGTAGCTAAATCCATAACTAGGGCTTCGATGTAACCTAGCATGAATATTCTGGGTTTATAAGTTTGGAGTTTCAAGTTTGTTTCATGATTCATGTTCTTATTCATTATGCTTATAAGTTAACATGCTTGTTTGGATGATTGATCACCATTAGAACTTGTTTGTTAACTATCTTGGTTTGAATTAAGAGTATACACTATGCTTTAATTCGAATTGAACTATGAATAGGAGGAGTATGTATGGACATTCGACAACAGGGATTAGATACATGCTTGGTTGTTTAAATTGTTCTTCTATGTTTAATGGGTTCCTAATGCTTAATTTTAGGTTAGACAATAAATGATCAAATTAGGGAATTAGGAACACAAGGTTATGACCAAACACCATGGCCTAATCATACTTTAGGTAGAATCAATCTTTGAATCTGAATTAGACTTGTTACTTGAATCTTTATAACCCAGAATTGAATTGTTATGGTGATTCGAATGCCCTAGTCTCAAAATCTGTTTTCCAACTCTTAAGACCACTCTTTGTTACATTTGTTTACTTGTTTTTGTTTCAAATTTTATTTTGCTTCTTTTGTTCAACAATCACAACCACTCTTGTTTTAAATTCTGTTTTAGACATAACCTCCTACTTTCTTGAATTTGGTAATCTAAGTACATAACTAGTTTTAATTTCTCAGTCTTCGTGGGTACGACCTCGTACTTGTCTTGCTATATTACTAATTGCCCCGTACAATTGCGAGTTAACATAATATTAACAACAGTTAGCTATCTTGGTTTGAATTAAGAGTATACACCATGCTTTAATTCGAATTGAACTATGAATAGGAATAGTATGTATGGACATTCGACAACAGGGATTAGATACATACTTGGTTGTTTAAAATGTTCTTCTATGCTTAATGGGTTCCTACTGCTTAATTTTAGGTTAGACAACAAATGATCAAATTAGGGAATTAGGAACAGAAGGTTAGGACCAAACACCATGGCCTAATCATACTTTAGCTAGAATCAATCTTTGAATCTGAATTAGACTTGTTACTTGAATCTTTATAACCCAGAATTGAATTGTTATGGTGATTCGAATGCCCTAGTCTCAAAAATCTGTTTTCCAACTCTTAAAACCACTCTTTGTTACATTTGTTTACTTGTTTTTGTTTGCAATTTCATTTTGCTTCTTTTGTTCAACAATCACAACCACTCTTGTTTTAAATTCTGTTTTAGACATAACCTCCTACTTTCTTGAATTTGGTAATCTAAGTACATAACTAGTTTTAACTTCTCAGTCTTCGTGGGTACGACCTCGTACTTGTCTTGCTATACTACTAATTGCCCCGTACAATTGCGAGTTAACATAATATTAACAACAGGACCCAGAAGAGCTTTATCGTTAGGGCAAACGGTGGCGGGACTTAGTTCCGGAAAATAGAGCTGGAGCCACAATTGAAAAATCCATATAGGGCCAGAAGCGTGGTAATCCATGGGTTTAGTAATTACCTCATGGAGCCCTCTATAAAGATAGGCAAGAAAGATTAGGCCCATGGCCACTTGATGGCCATCTGCAAGTACTTCCGCCAAGGCTTGGAATTCCTTAGTAATCCCGCCGGATCTTGGGCATGCCAAGAACTTGCACAACCACATCACCAGAAAAGCCACATGCTCAGTGTAGGATACGCCATTGATGGAAGGAGGGTCGGTGGGCTCTCCTCTATGGCCACGATACTTTTTCACCCAACTCCCGGAGGGTTTGATGGACTTATGAAAATCTAAGCCCACTTTGGCCTCCGGAAGGTTGGCGGCCGAGAAATCATCTCCATGAGGGCGAAGGCCGATGATAGCGGCCAAGTCTAGTAAGTTGGGTGTCATCATCCCAAAACGGAGCCTCATGCAATTGGTGGATGAGGACCAAAAGCATAGTGCCGCGATGACAAGAGATCGGTCGCAAGGAAAGGCGCTTCCCGCACATAGGAGCAATGTATCATAGATTCCAATCTTCTTCCAATGCCGTTTTAATTTGGGTTCCAAAACTTTGAACCAATGACACCAATCAAATTTACCTTCCGCCGGGCTTGAGTGGACGGATTTCCCGACGGCGGATGATTCTTTCTTTGGTGGGGCTTCTTTACTTGCGGTGGAATCCTTTTTTACGGGGATTCCCGTTGGCCAACCTTTGAATGGCTTAGAGCTCTCCCAAGCAGTTGCCCATGTGAAGTCTGAAAAAAAAAGTTGGGCCATTTCTCGGCTGCTTAACCCACACCTTTGCCACCTCCTCCGGATAGGTAGAGAAAAATGGGCCGAGAATATATTGGGCGGAATTGGGAAAGGCATTGAGGAAATAGGCGAATACTTGCTTGCCCAAATCTTTGTCCATGGCCGCTTTCACATCTTCGAAAAATTGGGCACTATCGTTTGGAATGGATTCCATCCTGCATACATGAAATATTATTTGAATCAAGAAAAATGTAGTGGCAAAAAAGCAAAAAATGGCCAAGAACTTGAAGAACATTCAAACTTTCAAAAAGTTTAAAAAATGAGCTTCCAATGGCCACCATTCATCAAAATCACAACAAATATCAACCGGAAAAGAGTTCGACATACTCGAAAACTCGTAAAATAACAAATTTGGTGGTGATTTGAATCTAGGAAGCAAAGTTTAGGTTTGGTGGAAGAGAGTTGTATAAAAGCAATGGCAATGGAGTTTTGAGTATGGAGAAATGTTTGAAGCCAAATTGGAATTTATAATGCCTAGGTTTTCTAACGGTTATGAAGTTCAAAGATTTCTCAAGAATTGATTAGGGTATCTCCCTAAACATCGATTTAACTCAAGCACCACAAATTGCTACGATAAAGCACGAAGTTGAAACATCCGGAGAAAGCTAAAAAGTCGTAAGAATTTTGATTCACTTACCCTTTCACCAATTGAAGGCCAAGGAATCAAGGGGGTGATGTTTGGATGTGGTCTCCAAATCCAAGCTAAGTCAAGTGGTCTCCAAGTCCATACTTCAGAAAAATGAAGGCAGGGGGTACTATCATGGTTGGATGATCTTCAATTTTGGATATGTTATAAACAAAACAATTTCGAGCAAATTTCGTGAAGCAATCACAACCATCCGAGAATCACATATTAAAATCAAATGCAGAAACCGAGTCTGCAGAACCCCACCAGCCATGGCTTAACACAAAAGCTGCAAATCCGTTTTGAGGCATCAGGAAAATTCAGAAAAATCTACAAATTTCACAGATTTTAGTCCTCAGGTAGACGAACAACTTTCATGAAGGAAGTTTTCTGATAGGAGCTTCCGAAATATGACTTCTGGATTTCTGAACAGTACCCTCGGTTTTGGGTCTTGAAGAAGTTGGCTGAAGAGAAGTGGGCTGAAGAAAATAATAGGTTGATGAATGAGAATTGGCTGGAGAGATAACGTTGGCTGGAGAGATAGCATGGGGGTCTGCAAAAAGGAACAATGCAAGTGCGGCCAAGGTTGGATGTTTTTTGAGAAGATGGGCCAGAAGTTATTGTGTCCTATTATAGGTGGATGAATGAGAAAAGCATGGCTGGAGCATTTGGATGGTCTGCCAATGTGGCTGAAAAGTTCTTTCCTTATGCTATTATATATATAAAGTGAATGAATAAGTGTTGCCAAAGTTTGGAGTTTATGGAATTGGTTCGGCCGAAGAGTTTTTGTAAAACTTGGAGTTTTGTCCTATTACATATAGATATATAATAGGAAGAATTCATAGAGGCGGATTCTAGGTGGCCGAGTGTTTTCTCAAAAAGCGGCCAAGGTGTTTTCTTTTGCAAGAATGATTGGGCATATCTTTAAATTTGGCCGAATACTACTCTTGCAAAAAAGGCTGGGCTGAAGTGATTGGGCATATCATATTGATATATTCATATATATATATGAATGAATGGATGCATGCATGAATGCGGCCAAAGCTTGGAGTGTTTGGAATTGATGTGGCCAAAAAGTTTTGTAAAGCAAATTGCAAAGGTGCGGTGGGGCACGGCTGGAATTACTAGGATATCTCGGCGGGATTTTGTAGAAGTTGCGGCTGGATTTTTTGGTTTGGAGCAAACACAGTTTTGGAGAATGGCGGCCGGGGTATTTGGTTCCTTTGCAAACCGGGCTGGAAGGGTTTTGAGTTGGGAATTAATTGACTTATTTTATATATATATATGTAATGGATGAACCTGCTTTCCAGGATTTGACCAATGGCTATAGGGTAATAGTAATATATTACTTTGATAATATAATTATTCATGTGGGAGGCATCCACTCATCATCTGGGCGGGAATTAGTAAGACAACTATCGATATCGGCCGACAAGATATGGCCATATATAAAATATATGTACATATAGAAAACTCCTTTGCCAACTTCCGCAGGTTCTCAACCAAGGCTAGAACTTCCAAATACTTGGAGAATTCATCATGCGGCCGATATCAAAATGTTTGGCGTTCATATGCCACTTAATGTTGGTGGGAGTCTTAACCAAGTCAGAAGCTTCCTTGCAAGAGGTGGAACTCAAATATGGGAAGACTTGTAGCCAATACCAAGACTAATTGCACCTTATATCAAGGGGAGAGTTTTCACAATCCCAATGACATTTTGGGTAGTTCATGCCTGGAGCTCCGGAAAACATCAATACTGGAAGGATTTTCAAGACAGAATTAGTTGGGGACATTTAATGGCCGAATCCATGAACTGAAAGAAACTCTATAAATAGGTCATCAGAAGAAGAGAAGAGGACCTCCAACTGAACACACAAAATCTATCTTTTCATCCTGTACTTTTCAATTCATAGT